TGTTGATGACAAAATAGCAAGAACCTGACACCATAAAATGTTGAGGCCCTAGTGTCTGGCCAGTGTTATAAGCCTGAATCCTACAAGCCATCTGGCTATGGAATATTTTTGGAATACTGCCCTATTTTTCATGTGCTTTGTTCGCATTGACATTTACCTCAACTATTGACTATCAAAGCAAAATAACGCACAGCCATGTGTATGGAGGAACACTGTGATACGCAAGAACTTCTAATTTTTTCTGTGTCTGGCCCATAATATAAATAAGTCAGGAAATAGCCAGGGTATTATGGTGCTATGATCTCAGCTATGAATCCACAAAACTGCTGTGACATTTTGAAGGGATAGGCCATCCAACAGATTAAGTCTGTAAGGTGATGAGTCACTCCTGTGCTAGGCTTCAGCCAATTCACACACCAGGAACTAGTCTGGTGACTCTCAGAAAAGGTATATGAGCCTCACAGGAGACATAACAGCTCAGTCTGCTCAATGTCACTCCAGGGCTTGGAACTCTCCTTTGCCTGATAGCGGCAATGGACTCCCCAAGCCTTAGCCTGCTCCAACCCTGTTCCTGCACCAACTCTGTTCCTAGTCCTGCTCCAGGCTTGTTCTCACTCCAGCCTGGCTCCAACTCTGCTCTGGAGTCCTGATTCTGGCTCTGGCCCCCTGGCTCTGACCAGGAGGCCAGACTGCCACAGCTCTGACCACTAGGCTTGACCATCATGGTTTCTGACAGTGTCTGTATCGTGAGTTTTTCTTTCATAAGAGAGATTTTGGAGGGTTATATTAAAATTGATGCATTTAGAAAGTACTGACACCAACTATAGATGTATACCGGCTTTCAATAAAAAACAGTTAACACACTTTGGTATCTGAGATACCATAATTACTCCATACCATAATTATTATAAAAGACAAAATAACTGAGGCATGTCTAGTATCAGAGTGTGTTAACTGTTATCTTTCTAATAGTGACCTCTGTAGGATTAGAGACCATTTTTCTTCATGCAAAAAAAGGTCTAAAAATAAACTATATACACATCATGCTTTTCCATTAGTCTTTGGTAATTAGCATTTATTTTGTCTGTGCATCTTTACAAAGCATTTTTGCAGCATTTACCACCACCTACTGAGACAATCATAGCTACCATTTAGACAAACAATAAACGAAGGTTTTATTGCTTTAATTTTCCAAACAAATTATAACATGGTAAATTACAGCAGATGGAAATAATTTCTGAAAGACAAAGAGGAAGGCAGACTATATATTTTGATGAAAGGAGCTATCTGGAATTCCAGATGAAAGGCTTGTATTTTGCTCTGTTCCAGCATATGTTTTAATTGCATGCATGGGGGCCATGGATCAGCATTCACGTCTTACTCCCCATCAGTACCCTGCCCAAGCTGGGGAAGCTAATAATCCAACCAACGGACCAAATTTAGTGATGAATCCTGGTCACGTGTCACCTGAAGCATGTTGCACATATGCTAAGAAGATTGCATGCATATACCCATTTTCAAACTTTTAAAGGGTACAATATACAGAAATACTGTAGCCATAAGATGCACCAATTACACTGATTAATATGATGTATGTACAATGCCAATCACATCCGTTTATAGACTCCAGCAGTAGGATCCCTGCCTCTCAAAACATTCACTATAAACTGAATTATACAGCTCTATCTATATTTGTTCTCATGCGTATGGCAGGAGTGCAATACATTTTGATGTGCAATTGGTAGGATATTTTCTGAGTAAATACATAAATTGGCAGACTATCTTAATGGAAAACCTGCTATTTTAATTAGTAGGGGAGGGAGTGAAATTTTAAAGATTTTTACTTTAAACTCTTGAATTACTGGTGAATGGCTTCTCTATGAAATGCATTTATTGTTCTTATATCAGGTCTCCTTCAACAACAATGTTGTTGAATTTTGGAAAATAAAGGCAAAAGCCATGTCATGTTAGTACAATTGCCTTGGTGGATCCAAATCTGGAAGGTGGCTCGAAAAGGCAGATAGCACTACACCCTGTGTATTTTTCTGGGTGCAGTTGGAAGGGATTTCAGTACTTCAGAAGCAGCAGTGATACTAAGATCACATATCCTTTTCTCATAGTCATGTTGTTTTATAACTCTTTTCCTGCAAAGGCTGAAAAGTTACTTTAGGTATAGAAAGGGACTGGTGTAACTGAGGGTAGATTCCTCTACCTGGTTACAGCTCATAGGAAACCATTGCCACTGTCCTGTGTTGTTGGGGCAGGAATTTAATTTTACTGCTGTTGTAACGCATACCCAGTTCCCAAAAATCTGATATCGCCATGCTGCTCCTGGATCATGGCCAGTCCCCAAAGTCTGTTTTCCCCATAGATCTGAGGATTACACTGTCACATTGTAGTCTGGTTTTAGAGTTGCCCCTATCCCCACATTAATGTTTAATTGCCTATTAGGTGGTCATCACCCCGCCCCCCAGCAAGGCCTTCTATAGACACCCCCTCTTCGCTTTGATGGCTTCACCCTTCACATTGTCCATAAGGAGACGTTATACCCTGAATGCACCAGTCCATGGATCACTCAGTCATCCTCCTTTTCTTTATAATGCTTTGACACCCTTGACATGACGCACAATTCAGGTCCCCTAAACTCTCCAGAGTTATGTGGTGGTCAGTTCTGGTGGCTTGGATTGACCCACATTAGAGAGTGGGATTAGTCATGAATTTTACATCTGTATTTGGGATAAACATTAGTAGTAACAACAATCTGATACATGACAATCATATTGGTGTTTACTGAAATAAAACAGTGCTAGGGCCAGGTGCTCAGGTGGTATAACTTGGTGTGGCCAATAGAAGTTTCTGAATCTATTTCAGTTTACACCATCTGAGGAGCTAGCCCCTCATATTTAAATAGAATTGATATTTAGAGCATACTATTTCTATTGGACACTTTAACACAAATTTTTCCTCCAGTAATTTTTTGTGTGCATTATTTAAGTTTCCAGGGAATATACATCAAAAAGTATGCACATATATTAGACTTTCATAAATAATTAGGTTAGTTACCATTACTATTTAGCTGAAAACACATGGGTACAAAGGGGGAAAATGTGGATTTCCTCCATGTGCATGTGGTTAATCAAGAGTTCTTTCTAATTGAATAAATACTTAATCAATGACAAATTACACCCTGTATGATCTTAATTATAGTGGCTACTCCATCTAATTGAGTGCCTAAATTCAATAGTCTTGAATTAATCCACCTACAGACACAGTATATACTGTATGAACAGGTTTCTTACAATTATTGTCTCTTTCAAAAAATAAATCAGCCATCACCGCACATTGCTCAAGTGCGTTCAGAAAAACAAAAAGCTTTTGAAGGGTGGCATGACATCTTCCAGATTTGATATCATACTTGAAATACTGTACCGTGAAACAGTCTGCTAGCTCTGGAGTGCCCCAGTTTGTGAGAAATTTCTCAATGAATACTAACAAGATCCAGAGAACTTCATGACTATACCAATCATTACTATGTGTCACCCTGCACATGACCTGAGTATAAGGGGCTGGAAATCTTTAACTGTAGCCTTTACCAAAGTTCACTTCTCTGAGTGATGATGCACTAATAGTTTTCATTCCGCGGCTTATGGCCTTTAGGACAAATGGAAAGGCAGCAGCTCAGCTCATTGCCTGCTGCTGCTGTTGAGTTCCTCATGGAAAACGATTAGTAAACGTCTTCCTTGACAAAAAGGAGTTAGAAAGCGAGAGAGGCCATGAAACAATGTGCTTCAGAATAAGTGTGTGAGTCAGTGAGAACTGCACCCATTTTACACAGTGAAATTGGTATCCTATTGTGCAAAAGTATCATCAATTACGTTCTATTTTTGTAGAACAGTTCCCTCTAGTGGTAAGAATATTGCTTTACTTGTTGCGTAATTCAAATACTATGTATAATAAACTAAGTAACAAAGAGGACTTCTTCCTTCTGCATGCAGATGCCCTGTAAACTGATTCATGTCACAAATTGTAAGATTGGTGAAAATGAAAACTTATTTGCCATTTATTTGCTACAAGACACTCTTTAATAGAAATAAGAGTATCCACAAGAGAGGTTTACACTGATTATACTAAATGAGTTAGTACAACTTTCACATGTAGACCAGACCTCAGAGTTATTTGGCTTATATAGAGAGTACAGCACAAGACACTTTGTGGGCTGATTCTCATTTAAACTAAGGCTCTTTTACACCGCTCTGGCAGGGTCAAAGGGCATTAAATGTAACTTACACCTATTTTATGTTCAGAACAGTATAAAGGGGCTTTAAGCATAAATGAGAATCATGTCTATGTTTGTTCATGGAGACAGCAGAGCTGAGAATTGGAAATGAGAAAAGTTTAATGAAGACAAGAAACAGAATTAAAATGAAACCAGGAACAAAGGGGAAGGAGGAAGGAAAAGCATCAAAGTAACTAGTTTCTCTCAAACCATGAGAGCCAAAAGCAGATTATAAATTAATGTTAAATACAGTGTTTTGATGCCATAAAACACTTTTTATGCAAACTGCCCTTTGTTTTCCTTTGGCAGCACTTCACTCATAGATTGCCTTGGATGCCTTCAAGATTTGTCTAAGAAGGTATAAAGTTGCCTGATCTGTGCCTTGATTTTTTAAGCATTAGAGGATGCACACTGGGCATCTCTTGGGTAATCAAGCACATCACCCTGTAGTTAAAGTAGGAGAACCAGGAAGTGAAGATGAGTGGCTCCATCACGCTGAAGGTGAAGAGGCAAAACATTTTAGTTGGGATCATTTGCCTGCCTTATTTTATTATTCACTCCTTTCTTCTTTGTCTTTTTTTTTTAAAGAGGATTTTTCTCTCTTCTAAGACGAATGACAAAAAACAAACAAAAGCTTTGTGCACAGAAAGCGTTGCACACAAGAAGAAAGTGCAAGAGACACTCACACATGCATTGGGAGATTCAGTGCTGTAGCCATTTAAGCCTATGGGAATTTTACTATTGACTTGAATGGAAGCAGAAGGGCATCTCTAGTTAGCAAGATTTGAATGTGCTGAGGCAAGAGCAGGCTGTTTACCTGCATGGCCATTTCTGGGAAGTGGACTGTGAGGCACACACTCTCACTCTAGAAGAGAGGAAATTAATGAGCTCTTATGGGCTCAGACAGCACTAACCAGACACACCTGTAAGTTTTGCTCTGTCTGGAGGGAAGAAGCTTAAAAAGGAAAAGCCTACTTCCTGTGTCCGTGTCCCGTCCCCGCCAAAGGAAGCGGTGTTGATTAGGGGGAGACTGTTTTGCCTTGGCAATATCTGGCTTCAGCAAAGAGGAAAACTGTTGCAGGCCCTGCCACGCCTGAGACTATAGGGGCCAGGTATAAAGTGGGGGGTTACCAAGAGAAGGGACTGAAGTTAGGTCCTAATTCTCATCAAGGATACAAGAGCCAGAACCCCAAAGGGATTTCCTGAGAGACTGACCACCTTTGTCTTTTTATTTTACTCTGATTCTCTCTCGCCCAAATGAGGGTGAGAGAAAAGAACCATTTGTTTTGTTGGAAGAATCCTCTGTATACCACAGGTAGGAGAAGGACTTTGTGAGCAGCCCAAATTGTGCCCTGGTGTAAAGTTAAGGGGCCCCCTTACCCACCACATGGGCACTAAATGAGTATCTAGGAGTGGTCATTGTAGCCTGTATTTGTCTTACACTTCTACAGAATGAAAAAAGATAGATGACAACAAACATATACAATAAATCTAAAATTGGATTTTCAGCCCCCTCTTGTAAGTGGATTCCAGCAATAACATTGTGAGGACTCAGTATTATATTTTTCAAGGGACCAGGTCAAGTGAGGAACTTAGTCACATCAGGGAGTAAAATGTTATCTGGATCATAGCCATCAACTCAGAAAGAATGTTCATGGAAATATTGGGGAGTGCCATATCTATGTGGAGGTGAATGTTGTGAGGCCTTTAAAGAATGATGCACTGGTGTTTATGTTAACAGAATTATATTGCATTTATGACCTAATATACTCCTAAACTTAGTCCTGGTGTCCTGAAACCTGTAAGCACAAGGCTAAATTGTACCATTGGGAAGCTTTAATTGTAGCACTTGTCTAACAGACCTACAGCTCCACATGGTCCAGTAGGTGTTACTAGTACGAATACGGGAAAAGGAAGGAAATGTCAGAGGCAACTGGAGTGGGTGTCAGCAGAGATGATGGGGGTGGGAGACAAGAAGGGAAGGGATCTGGTATGAGGGAGGGGATTTCAGATAATTAGGCTCTTCAAAATATCTCCCCTGGGTGTCAGCAAAGTTAGTGAGGCCATTACTAGCAAGTTTCAGATTAAACTGGGGTTGTTGAAGAGCTCTAAGGAACAAGAAGAACCTTGGCCCAGGAAAACACCTGAAGCAGCCAGTAACACTCTTTGAAATTCTAGGGGGAAGTATAATATAATCTATATGTATATAGATAAATGACTAAAATCTGTTTTAATTAAATCCTTCCAGCTCTGGCAGTTAGGGTTGTCATATCTGAGGTACAACCCCCCCAGGACAATAGTGAGGCCATAAAACTGGACAGTTGGTATAAAACTGACACCCTTATGGATTTCTTGGGGCAGCTACCTCCAAAAATGGGATAACCCTGGGAAAACCTGGTCAGGTGGCAACTCTACTGGCAGTGGTGGCAGCCAGAACTTCAATCCACTGTTCACTTAATTGTACTGGCAGCTGCACATGAGGCTACCACTTAGCTTATTACAAACAGATTTTACCTCAGCTTCTGAAACCACCGCGTTGTTTAACTCACTTTGAGATGTCCCAAGCTGAGGTGTACTCTGGGTTCCAGGTTCCAGAGAAGCCCTAGAATTCAGTGAAATATAGATGGTTTCCTCTGTACTAGAGCACAGATGGAATAGGGGGTCACATATAAAAGGGACAGGAAATGGCCACCAAGCCTCTGTGAGGCCAGGACTAATGGTCAGAGAGTGAGTGTGTTATCCAGCCTCTCCACGAAGACATGAGCCAAAGCAGTGTTGGGGATTCTCCCAGCCATTTTTGGAAGAATCTGTAAGAAGATAGGGAGAGACTGGTGCTATGTTCAACGGGGAGTCATGGGAGTGTGGCTAAAGCAGAGTCACCATAGCTTAGTTTACAATAACATCTGCTGTTTTGTGTGTTTACCTGGATTCAACAGAGCATCTGAACCTCTTGAGGTTCCCCCTTCATTAGTGAGTTGTTTTGTTTTTCTATCATTAGTTTGATTTGCAGTGGAATACTTGAACACACCCAAGAGGATAGAGCTGGGTATTTCAATTCACTTTCCTCCAGTAGACTTTGAAAATAGCAGACATGTTAGAGAGTGCGGGTCAGGTATAGAAAACCTGGCACAGAGAGGTATAAATTACACCATCCTGTCCCAGCTAAACCTATCACACAAGATGGGATTGATCCCAGCAAGGGGCAGATGTTATCTAAACTGCCCTTGAGTTTACCTTCTGCCAAGAGATGGTCTTAGTCCCATCAGAGCACTGTAGGAGCTTCTTCAGAAGGAGCCTGTGATAGGGTGGGACCCACCACTCTGACACCTCCTAATGGCTATCACAGGAATTAGCTCTACTCGCCAGGGCACCCTCCTCTGGTGGTGCCTCGCTGCCATCACTTTCATTCCAAGACCCACACCACTCCCAGGATGGCAGAGTCCTCTTCAGTGACACTGTGCTCTGACTGTGACACACTCTGTGTTCCCCCATTCTTGGCGATCTTCACTCTCCATCCATCAACTACCTCAGTGGCAATTAGTCCTTTGGGGCTTCCCATGTGGCTCCAGCACCCTTTTCTGCCCTTACCTCAGGGCTTTAGCCTGTAGGCCCTCGCAGCCTGCCAGGAGCTCCCTCTAGCTTCCACGGTCCCTGCTTGCAGCACTGAATAATCCCAGGTGCTGGGGCTCCTTTCTCCTGCGAGGAGTCTGGTCTTCTCCCCCTCAAGCTCCAGTCAGCTACTGCCCTCCACTCTGCCCTGCAGCCCTTCTTATATGAGCCTGCTGGGCTATATTTGGCTGCTCCTCTCAGCCCCTTTCTAATTGGCTGCTGTAACGATGCTGGTTCTGGTGGGACCCAACTGAGAGTGCCAATTCAGGACAAATTGCTTCAAGCAGGGCAGTTACAGCCCAAGGCTGGGGTTTCTATGCACACCAAGGCAAACCAAACCAGCCAGACGGAGAAGACTTTGATTTTACCCCACTGGCTAACCACAAGTCATACAAGCAATTCCCTTAGACACTCCAGTTTCCCAGTATCACCACAGTGCCACTCATTATGGGGACAGATGGTTATGAAAACCAATACCCCAGTAAAAGAAAAAGGGTTCTCTCAATCCCAAAGAACCAAGCCCCAGACCCAGGTCAATATACAAATCAGATCTTACCCACAAATCACGCTGTTGCCAATCCTTTAGAATCTAAAATCTAAAGGTTTATTCATAAAAGGAAAAAGATATAGATGAGAGCAAGAATTGGTTAAATGGAATCAATTACATACAATAATTCCAAAGTTCTTGGTTCAGGCTTGCAGCAGTGATAGAATAAACTGCAGGTTCAAATCAAGTCTCTGGAGTACATCCACAGCTGGGATGGGTCTTTCAGTCCTTGGTTCAAAGCTTCAGTGTAGCAAAGTCCCTCCAGAGGTAAGAAGCAGGATTGAAGACAAGATGGAGGAGCTGCAGCAGCTTTTTGTACTGTCTTGCCATGTGGTCTTTCTTTCTTTGTTCCAAAGACAAGCTGTCCATCACATGGCCGGGAAAAACCTCAGAGTTCTGTCCATAAGCATGTCCCTGCATACCTTGCTGAGTCACAAGGCGTGTCTGCCTTCTCTCAGTGGGTCAGTTGTATAGGTGATGGTCCTTAATGGGCCATAAAGCAGGCTAGGCACAGCTGACACCAACTTGTCTGGGGTGTCACCCAGAAACATAGCATAAGTTTGAAATACAGACAGTATAGAGCCAATATTCATAACTTCAACTATAAAAATGATACACATACACAGATAGCATAATCATAACCAGCAAACCATAACCTTGTCTTAGTTACCTCATTTGACCCCCTTTATATAGGATTTGGTGCCACTACAGGACCTTGGTTGCAACAATTATCTGTACGGTCCCAGTTCAAGTCAATAACGTCACAGCTGCCTAGGGCTGTTTTTAACCCATCACAGAGGCTTCACCAGGGGTACTGAATCAGTGCACTCCCAGTCACCCCAGCACCCTTTCCAACCATAGTGCTCACTTTTAGCTTGCAATGGCCCTTAATTAACCCCCTCCCCAACCAGAACAAATGAGGTCGAAGTGCTTTAGCACTGCAGCATCCTCATCCCCTAGTGGTTTGTTGGTGATGAGGGGCCTCCATCAGTGTTTGTGCTAGCAGAAGACCTGGATGAATCCAGCCCAGTCTGCATAGGGGTGAAAATGCAAACCATAAAACTTACTGGATGCACCTGTGCATAAAGCAAATAGAGAAGCAAAAGACAGCATGTAACCTTGACCAGTGAACCTTAGCATGTAGAGCCTGAGCTGAATTGCTTATGACACTTGAATTGTCAAAGTGCCTGATTGTGTGTGGCATAAGCAAGAGGACGACGAATAAGCTTCCTGATCTGTGTCCAAATCCATGGCAAGGTGGTTATGGAAATGTTTAAAACTCAGCTAGCTGAGAATATCATAATGAAGAGCCTAGCAATGTTGTTGCTAGTATTCTCTGGGCAGAAGCTGATGTGAACTGATAAGCACTGTGTTTCCCTGCAAGGGATGAAGTCTGCAGTAATGTCGATCAGCTTAAGTAAGCCCTCCTCCATATGTTTGCATCGCTGCTAGGTATTACTGAAGGTACACTGAGACAAAAAGTGAAGTGAAGCATTTGTTCATGGTATTTATCATTAATATATGGATACAAAAATATGCTGATGAAATATTAAAGCTGAGACATCTAAAATCAGGAGATTCAGAGAGAGACCAATGACAGCGTTAATTCAATCCCTTTGTGGAGCTGTATGACTTATAGATTTTTGGGAGCTGGAAAAGAGCTCTGGGGTTATTTGAGCTTTCCCATCCACAAATACAAGCAGTTATGATGACAGGGTGTTTCATGACATGATCACATAATTCTGGGGAATGTGATATGTTAGGATATAGATATTCAGGCCTGTCTGTAAAGGCCTATACTCTAAGAATTTAGGTGTATTCTTATCACTTGGCTAGTGATAGAGGTATAAAAGAAAGAATCAAAACCACTGTCTGCCAGTGTAAGGGCCTTCTCTTACTGTGACAGTTTGTGGCCCTGTGCTTAGGCTCAGGCCTTTGGCTAAGCAGCAGAAATAGCCATAAGCTGGGAAGCGAACAGTCACATCCTCACATTCCAAACTAGTCACATTGAAATAAGGTGCTATTGGGCTGTTAGGCACTATCAGGACAGGATTGTATTCCTATCACCTCCAGAGAAAGGGAAGTGCCTAGAAAATGTAAAAGGAAACTTAGTTTGATAGCATCCTGTCTGGCAAGAACTCACTTATCAATAGCTGGGATGTGAAATCCTCACTTCTGTATTGTTTTCTCATTATAGTTCCCACTTTGCTGTTGTTTGTCTGTATAATCTCTGTCTGGTTCTGTGATTGTTCCTGTCTGCTGTATAATTAATTTTGCTGGGTGTAAACTAATTGAGGTGGTGGGATATAATTGGTTACATAATCATGTTACAATATGTTAGGATTGGTTAGTTAAATTTCAGGAAAATGATTGGTTAAGGTATAGCTAAGCAGAACTCAAGTTTTACTATATAATCTGTAGTCAATGAGGAAGTGACTGGGTGTGGGTGGGGGTGGGCATGTGGGTGTGTGAGATGGGAACAGGGAATGGGGGTAAGAAAATTGGAATCATGTTTTGCTAAAGGGGGAAATGGGAACAGGGAATGGGAGTAAGGAAGTTGGAATCATGTTTGGCTAAGGGTAGGAATGGGAACAGGGACACAGGCGTAAGGCTCTGTGGTGTCAGAGCTGGGAAGGAGGATACTAAGGAAGGAAACTGGAATCATGCTTGCTGGAAGTTCACCCCAATAAACATCGAATTGTTTGCACCTTTGGACTTCGGGTATTGTTGCTCTCTGTTCATGCGAGAAGGACCAGGGAAGTAAGTGGGTGAAGGAATAAGCCCCCTAACATGATATACTGTGGTCATTTTATACATATGAAATAACTATGGAGGTATAGAAGAATGTCAGACATTAATTAACTGGGGTAAATTAACCGAGATAAAGGTATATAGCAGAAGAGGGTCCAAGAAACGGAGTAATAGCAGACATACCACTACTGCAATAGTCTACAGTAATAGCCAAACACATTACAGGCTAAATCCTGCCATTACTCAGACAAAACTGCTAAGAAGCAATTCACCTGAATGAGAGACAATCCAAAGCTTCCAGCATCACAAGACTGAGAGGAACACAGAGGGGCTGTGCAAGAGGTGCCTCATGCCCACCTTATTTGGAGCAGGTGGAGAGAGTTGAGAACCGGCTTGGGTTGAGCCAGAGGAGTGCTTGTATGATCTTGTGACTATGTTGAACCAGCAGTACAAAACTCTTGCATAGATGACATAGCTGAAGACAATGGCTAGAACAGTATCCAGGGAGAAGCCAAGATACAGCCGGCCTATAGATTGTGGCAGTGTACTCCATCCTCACAATTCACAGGCAGTTTGTGGGGTTGCAACTTGGCTTCTTCTAGGATGCTATGTCATCCATTGGACTCATCTAAGCAGAGGATGCTATTCTGGCCACCACTGCCCATCCACGCCCTCTGTGTGAGGGACTTGGGCAACTGGATGAGCAGTCCCAGATTCTATGCTCACAGGTA